CATCAAAGATAAAAGCTTTAGCCTTAACATCATACTAAGGAAAGCTTTAGCCTAAGCATCATAGAAATAATAATTGACATTATATTATTCACCCTAAACATCATACTAAGGAAAGCATCCTAACATGATACTAGGGAAAACATCCTAACACGATACTAGGAATCAAAATAACAACCTAAACATGATTTCTATATCACAATATCAATCAAACAAATACATCACTTACTTGGATGCCTTGTACCTCTTTCTAATAACAAAATACACTCGTTAGTAGCTTCAAGGAAAATAATAAATTAAAGAATTAAATTAAATAATTGAAATAGAGATTAAGAAATTTTTGACTAGATTTTGGACCAAACCCTCAGAAATATCAAACCTTTCACGTCTAGGGCGAAGGCAACTTCAAATTTGGCTAGGTGTGTCTAGATTTTGTGAATGCGGAATTTGTTTAAAAAGGGTTGGTTTAGAAAGAGAGAGAGAGAGTATCAAGAATTTCTTGATGAGAGTTGGTGAGAATTGATGATTTGAAAAAGGGGAGATATGACCTCTATTTATAGAGAAAAAAGAGGGTCGAAGAATAAGAAAAGAATTTGAATTCGAATTGAAATAAAACTCGATGGACAACAGTTTTTGCGGATTTTATTTTTATCATATCTTTTAATTTAAAAGTCCAAATAAGTCATATAATATATGGCCCAAATAGTGGAAGGGTGTTAAATATGGCCGAAATAATAGGCCCTCCTCTAGTTCATCGGGCCGTATGTAAGAAACAAACCGGGCCCAGTTTAGTATTTTGGCCATAGTTCCTTATTATTCATCGAAATTGGGCTTATAATATATCGTTGGAAAGGTCTTTTCAATCCCTATCCATTTACACTATTATTGGACCCTTATCATTGACTAAACTAAACAGGAATACACGTTTTTCGTAAATAGGGTAAGAAATTAAATATTTTCAAAAAAAGAAAGCAGAGATATTTTAATAAAAACATCCTCATCGCTAGACTTTTCACACTTTCACCTCGTTCGATAATCAAATGACATGAAAGGTGTTCATCACTGGGTTTGGTTTTGTGGAGACACATTTGGGTGTCTATAGAAGCCCCCATTTTGACTGAGTTTGGAGAAATACATGTTTCGAAAACAGAAGTCAAATTACCGATAGGGACGGAGAATGATTCAGAACGTTCTGCAATCCTAAATCATTCTTGTAACGCCGATACATGCAAACTAGCGTTAATTAAAACAGATAGGAGAGTTAAGAAATGCGTATCTTGCACCGTCAAGCACACGTCTCTGGGGTAACCAATTTGTTGTGTTGTTGTTGCGACAACCTTCCACAAGCTAGGAAACCCTCCATCTTGCTGTTTTGATGTTCACTCGTCTCTGAACAATGGAGCTTTTCTGGATATGTTCACGCATCTCTGAACAAAGAGCTTTGATGATATGTCCACGTGTCCTTGAATAAAATAGCTTTGATAGGATACCCACGTGTCTCTAAGCAAGAGAGCTTGAAAGACATGTCCACGCGTCTTTGAACAAAAGAGCTTGAAAGGATTGTCCACGCGTCTCTGAACAATAGAGCTTTGATACTTGGATGTTTGTTGCGATCGTTTGGTTGGCTGCGAATAGGAGTTTTGCTGAATATTTGAATCCTGTAAAAATCAAAAGATTGCCAAAAGACTTTTCTAGTGCTTTTCTCAGGGTTAACCTAAGGATTGATGTTTTTTCGTAGGGTTAACCTAAGGTGATTGAATGACTTTGAGGTTGACTCAATGTGACTGACTGACTCGAGGTTGACCCAAGGTGAATTGACAGACTTGAGGTTGACCCAAGGTGACTTACTAACTTGAAGTTGCCCCAATGCGACTGATTGACTTGAGGTTGACATAAGGTGAATTGACACGTGTGACTCATGATTCGTGTGTGCATTATATTGTGATGTGCTTGACTCAAAATGCAAAAAAGCAAAAAATTTCCGTAATTTTTGTGGAGAGTACCGACTTTTTCCCGAAAGAGAAGGACGCGAAAAAGAATCGAAGTGTTTGATGGTGCATGTTGAATGAACTTAGCCAAGTATATGTGTTCGATGCTGTCTCTCAAGGTGCAATGGTTAATTCATTCTAGGCTATCCTAGTTTACTCAATAATGAAAGTATGTAGGTAACTTAGGCACGGAGGCTAAGCACTTCATAATTCGTGACGTGATAACGATTACAAGCGATGAGTTATTCAGATATGACAAGGCCTGCTTCAACGTTGTGTTAAGATTTTATGACAAAGGGTTCCTAAGGGAAGTATATTTGGTCATGTATCTATGATGTGTGAGATAGTGACACTAAATTTAGGCCGCAAGGGCTAAGTGTGTTGAAAAATATATTAAAAAGAGTCAAATGGTGGTGACTCTTAGGCTGGGTAGGCTAATAATGTAAGGATCAAGCCCCTAACTCTAGCTCTAAATGTATAGGGATGAGCACAGGGGATCCCTTGATATGATCATTTATGAATGAAAATATGAATGTATTTTTCTTATGGTCGTACCTCGATGTGAGGTTGCCTATGTATTTGTTAGGAATCAAGCCGAACGTAGCTCTAGCTAAACCTCGCACAAGTGTGTGTATACCTCAAAGAGGTCTTTTAAGGGTTGTAATGTGGTTAGGCTAAAGGCTCAAGACCCTAGATAAGCCCCCAAGGTGTGCAACCTTGCATTTGAATCTCTATATTTTTTTGCTTGAGGCTTTTAACTCTTTTTTTTTAGCTCTCTTTTTTTGCTTTTGCATTTATTTTATTTTTATAAGTGTGGGCCATCCAAATCATGCGGTCTATTTGTACACTTTTATTTATTTATTTTGCTTATTCTTTTCTATTTTAATCTTTTGAAGTGACTCAAGCTTTTTATGAAATTGAAAGTTGCACAAGTTGCACACCATCCCATCCCAAGGTTAGGTAGATATGGATTGAAAATTGAAAGATCTATCGTTAGACGAGGCTCAAATTGGTTTATCAAAAAAGGATTGCATAATTGAAGGGTGAAAGGAGATATGATGTGGCTATAAAGGGTGCCTCAAATCATTGGTATACCTTGTCCTTAGTTTGACATGAATTTTTTATTTTAATATTTTTAAGGCGATGTAATGCAATGATCATATATAAGGAAATAAATGCTCATTTTATTTAAAAAGTCACTAGTCGAAAAAAGATCATCCGTAACGGGCAAAAAGGGTCCATCCGTAATGGGCTGCGTCTATTACGGCGGCCGTTACGGATGGCCATTGTTAACCGTAACGGGCACCATCCGTTACGAATAAGTACTTATTCGTAACGGGAATTTCAGGTGCCCGTTACGAATAACCTATTATTTGTAACGACCATTTCAAACAGTCGTTACAAATAACCCCGTTATTCGTAACGTGCACATTTTTTGCCCGTTACGAATAATGTGAGATTCAATTAAAAAAAATATAACGGGCAGGTGAAATGCCCGTTACAAATCAGTATTGTGAGATCCAAATCCAAATATTTGTTTTCCTTGCACAAATATATATTATCAATCATGTCATACAAACCAAATTTATTTTACAATAAAAACTGCTTACAAACTCGTAATATTGTAAAAGGTTAATGATTAAAAAAAATGTAAATAATATTATAGCTTAAACAGCTTCCTAGAGCAACAGTAACCAAGGATGCACGGACACGCCAAAAATCTGAAGAGTCCGAGTCGACACGCGTGTCGGACACGGACACGGATGAGACACGGGGCGACACGTGTCCGACACGCAGAAAACCGTGTCCGATTTTTTTTAACCGTTTTTGATTTTTGGACACGGGCCGTGTCTTGGGCTGACACGGGCCGTTTTGGTATGGACACGCGAAATACCTAAATTCCTATGCTTTGCCTCTCTACCTCTTTCCAAGTTTCCAGTTCTCAAACTCTCAATCCTCTCATCCTCTCAAGTCTCAACTGAACCCCTTGCTGCTCACTTGCTCAGTCGCCGACTTGTAGGTCTCACCGTACCGCCGGCTTGCTGTCTCCGTCACCGCCACTCGCCTCCTTGCCGGTTGTCAGGGTTGCTGGCCTGGCCCTTGCTGCTCGTGGTCTTCATCTCTCATTGTTGCGGGGGTTGCTGGAGTTGCTGGCCTGGCCCTTGCTGTTCGCCTGCTCGTCCTCAGCCACCACCTATCACTCCACCGCCCACCTTGTCGCCCGTCGTCCGTGTCAGCCACCAGGTATGGTTCTTCTCTACTTTTTTTTTTTTTAAATTCAATTAAAGTTCTGAATATGCATCCTTGGATGTCGAGAAGTGAGAGAATGTCGGTGAGAATGGAGTCTGGGAGAGAACTTAATCGGTCTTCATTTTCTGAGTCTCCGCCATTGTTGTCTTTAATGGAGCTCAATTTCAGCCTTTTCGTGCTTATTTCTTGGTGTTCTGCCATTCAACAATTGAGCTCCATTGTTATCTTTACTGGAGCTCAATTTCTGCCATTCAACAATTGCTGTGATTCTGAAGTGAATTCGAGTAATGCTAATTTGGGGAATTTTTTAGGGTTTTAATCAGTGTAAGTGTGTAAGAACTTCTGATTTTCTGAAATTCAATTGCTTCAATAATTCAATTTGTTGTTCGTCGTCAGCCAGACAACCACCGCCCACCACCGTGTTTTGACAGTTTTGTTGATTACTTGATGAGATGTTTGATTTTGTGTTATGTTTCTAGTTTTGTTTGATTACTTGAAGAGTACTATTAAGACATGTCTGGTTTGATGGTTTCTTGATATGTATCGGACTATGTCCGTACACTTTGTTCATTTACTTGTTTAATTAAAATTGTGCGTTTTGAGGCTAATTATTTAGTGTTTTATTGAATTAGTTGTCAAATTCTCGTTTTTTTAATATATTATATGCCTTGTTATACGCCGTACCCGTGTCCCCTATTTTAGGATTGCCGTTTTCCCGTGTCCGTATCGTGTCCGTGTCCGTATCCGTTTCCGTGCATCCTAGACAGTAACAGCAGAGCAGCATCAACCATAAGCACCAGCAGCAACAACCATAATAGTAAGCATCTGCAGCATAGAAAAGTCCCCAATCTTTAATTTTTTCCTTCTCACGTAATCCACTCAATGAAAAAAAAAAAAAATCAAACCACAAACACAAATAACACCAAATCTATAACACAAAGAAAGTTACTTGTTTCGCTTGAATATACCCAGATTTCTTTAAGAAAGAATAGAGATTAAAGATAAAGAAAGAATGAGAGTGTGAGATAGAGAGAGCTTCTAAGACAACTCAAGTACTTAATGCAACTACAACAAACACATGATCAATTGAACCAATCAACCATTCATGGCCAGTTGAGTAATTCAACTCTTATATTATTAAAGAGGAATAATATAAGAGTTGAATTACTCAACGTATCACTATTTTTTCAAACGTATCACACCAAATTTATTTTACAATTAAAAATTCCATGCTCAGCTCTTACATATGTTTATATTTTCTATCAAGTGTCCGTGCTTAGACCATACCTTTTGCAATGTCGGAAGTAAAGTAGACCGTATTTCAAGTCCTTCAAACATGACTGTCGAGTTATCACTTTGGTTGTGCTATCAAAAATACAGAGGTATCAAAGTGAACAGGGTTTCTACTTCCTTGCAAGTACTAGTATCCAAAGGATCTGAAAATATTTAGACATGTGTAAATTTTATTCAATAGGTGACTCGTACAAGATATATAAGCCCTTGATACTGAGTGAGTGATCTGAGTATTGTTGCGACCCACCCTTAAAGCCTCCAGATGAAATGATGATCAACAAGAGCAGTCATTAATATAAGAGTTGAAGGCTATGATAAGACAATTGATTTCGGACAGAAAGGCTAAAACATTGTGAGAAGTTACCTTGCCCAGTGACATGCTTCATATCTTTTGTGGTAGATAGAATTCTCGTAGTTTCCTCTTGTGCTTCGGACTTAGAAGAATTTCCTATACTTCTCTCTTGTGCTGCAGAAGTAGAAGCAATCTCAGCGGATCTCTTTCTGAATTTAGGTCCAGAACTCTAATGTGTATGCTTTCGTAAAGGATCACCTTCTTGATTGCTTATAGCAGGCAACATCTCATCACTTTCTATAGGTTCCCTTCATAATTAAACATACAAAAGGTTTAAATGGAAATATTCGAATATCAAAACTACCTCCCCAAATCAATACCAATCTATAATTCAATTATTCGAATTCTTTAAACCTTTACTTATCTATTTTCATTTCCTACACTTAGCCAACACCCTGCAATAATGTCAAAAATAACAAATAAATGCCAAAACAAAATGTTGGAGAAACATATAGGAAAATATATACTCCGGTCTTGGAAGTAGCAGCATCATAGTTAATGAATATAAATGACAAGAAAATTATATTCCTTATTTTGAATGCTTTAAAACTGTAAGAGAGTATCATCAACTACATGATCCTTCAGACAAAGTGTTAAAAACCAGAAAATTATATTCCTAATTCCTTATGCTGATTGCTAGGTTGCCAAGGTGTGTCTTTGTAATCAGACACAGTTCAATTCCGTAACTTTTTCTTCTATTTTGAAACAAGTACTACTTTCGTAGCTTAAAGATTGCCCTGAGCAAACTAAAAGGGGCAGAGGGAGAATTAATAACACAAATTACCTATAAGGGACAGGGACACGTGTGCGATACTGTAAAATCCATTGTGGAGGTGACCAAAGATTGAGTGGAAATCCAGGGTAAGATGATATTAGCTTAAATCCTTCAGCACTCACTTATTTTCTCTTTTTCCCCAGCATCCTTTCAGAGAAGAACAAAAAAACATGATCAAGTTTAAGAGCTCTAGAGTATATTTTTTATTTCAAGAATAAATTTTAAGGCAGGACAAAATCAGTAGTTAAGTATGCAAACTAAATTTTGAAAAGGAGATTAGGACTTTGGGAAATGAACGAAAAGTTTCAGAAATAGAGGGTATATTATTTCCTGGAATAAATGGATGGCCGGATTGTTAAACAACCATCACAAAGGCATACTTTTTTATCCTATCAATTTCTAATTGTACCTAACCAATGTACCAAGTATGAAACTAAACATCACATCTTGTAAGAATTCAATACTTAATGCTTAAATACAAAACTGTTATTACCTAAATTATTGACATTAGATTTTTTCTTACAACACGGCCTTGTTTGGGTTGCTTAGAGCCTTAGACCAAAGTACAATGACACCTAGTTTTCGGAATTACGATTCTACAAAGTAATAATAATACTACTATTCCAATAAATTGCTAATTCTTGCGAAAAATATTTGGTGTAAAGGCGTAACGACAAATCAACTAAACATGTCATAAAAAGAGGCTAATCAATAGGCTAATTTCATCAATTTACTGATTATATCTTCACATTTTAGACTACGGTAATTAACATCAAACGTATTCAATTTGTCTTTTGATTTCTTATTATTGCTTATTGCAGTCTCCAACATAGGTTTTCTAGCACCTAGCTAGATGTCCGGAAAAAAAGAGTAATCAATTTGTATGTACTAGATTTTATACAATCTTTAAGTATCATATTCACAAAATCACAATAGCTTAACTACATTCATCTAAATTTTTCATTTTTATATTTTTGGTCGTTTCATGAAAAATTGATTACTTGGTAGATACATATTTAGCTATGAAATATTTTAAATTTTATTAAATTACTCTTTATCTTTCACTAAAAATCTAACAAAATGAAAATTGGTAAAGTTAAATTCATAATAGGCTAGAGACTAGAGAAAGAGAACCCCAAGGAAATTAGAGCAAATTAAATCTAAAATCATGTGTATCAAATTTTTCACCCAAAAAGAAGAATTAAAAAATATAATTATACTTGAAAAACAAAAACCAACTAAATTAGTTGACATCCACATTAAGTTACGTAGTATATTTAAGCTTTTCAATTTAATTAAAACAAATGTTGTGACTACATATCTTTAATAGTTGAATTAAGGTGTTATTAAAGTATGATCAAGAGTTAGCCCAAGAAAATATTCAACATGTAACATATAATGCGATCAAACAAGGGCTATACACTTATACGATATATAATAGTAGTCATAGCTACTAAATAGGATACTTGGACAACTAAATTTTTATTTAAACAAGTCCATATGTATTGAGCTAATAAGCCCACTATAATCTCAATATGATGATATCTATTCTTCACTTTTACTTCTTTAGGTATGTAACATGTATGTTTTGTAATTAGGACCTTACCATAACCAAAGCCATTTAAGTATTTAACAAGTCATCCTGATTTCTGCTCTAAAAAACTGCAAGCAATTTGAGCAAAATTACAACAGTAAACTTGAACATAAACGGGCAAACATTACCATGAACTATTGAGTGAACGACTGTATAAAACTAGAGTTGTAAACCAGAAATTAACAGCAATGCAGTATTTTTCATGGAAAAGTTGATCATAGTGTTTTATGGCAAGCCATATTTTTAAAAGGACAACTCCAAAACACGAGCTAAATCAAGTTTAATCACTTGTAATAAGAAAAAGATTATACTTATACTTCCAAAATCAGAACTCCAATGCATACTCCCATAGTTTGACCATCACCATTTATTCGTGGAGGTTGTACGAGCAGCAGCTGTAACAAGCAAACAACACGAATAATTCAAGAGGATAATTAATTGAGACAGAAATGAAAGTAAAATAAAGAACAAAACATTATCATTTCAGACCATAAAAACAGAAGCAGAAGTTCAGAACCAAATTCAAAAACCCAGAAATCCCATCAACTAATCTCAAGAAAATCATATCAAATAATACAACCAAAAGACAGTTAAAGTGATTTGAAAAAAAAACCCAACAAGGTAAATTCCTCAAATTTTAAAAAACACAAGCGTAGATCTACAAAAATTACATAAAAAAAACCCAGGAAAAAAAACAGAAAATAGAGATTGGTTACAGGAATGAATTAAGAGTATTTAACATGATAAATGACATCCTTATATCCATGGAAATGCAGTATCATCCGTGTTTTCTCACATAAATGCCCAAAACTACCCAATGTCACCCCAAATGCCAAAAATTAATCAAATACAAATTGCATGTAGAAAACAATAAAGCAAATTAGAATTCACAAGAACAAATTCAAGAATTTAAACAATTAGATGCTCAGAAATCAATTCAAGAAGAGGAAACAACAATTCAAGGACTTTTTACCTCACAATCTAAAATGGTTGAAGTTCACGGCAGAGATGTCACCAAGAGTTCCGTCACCGCCGGTTACACCTCCGCCCAAAAACGACGCCGCTTGGGAGCTCTTGTATGAAGACGCCAGACAAGTTGCTCATCTCAAGATGAACGCAATCGCTACTCAAGTTAACCACCAAAACAATAACCAACAGAACAGAGGTCTTCTCATTTCTACTCGAAATAAGATGGACTGAATTTGAAATGAGAGAAAGAGGTGAATGACGGGGAGGAGAGGAGAGGAGAGAGAGGGAGAGGGAGTGAGGGACTGATGAGAGAGAAAGAGGTGAAACCCTAAAAAGCCAAGTATTGGGCTCCTCTCATCAGTTGGGCCAAGTTTGGGCATTAACGTGTAATATGGTATTCGTAACGGGCAAAATAGTGTCCGTTACGAATACTTATATTTTCGTAAATGGCACTAATTTGTCCGTTACGGATACTTATTTATTCGTAACGGGCACTAATTTGTCCGTTACGAATACATACGTATTCGTAACAAACACTATTTTGCCTGTTACGAATAAATAAGTATTTGTAACGGACACTATTTTGCCCGTTACAAATATCTTAATTGTAACGGGCAAAGCTTTGCCCGTTACAAATAGCCTGTAACGAATGAGATTTTTTCCTCTAGTGAGTGTAGGGTAAAAATCAAACTGATCTGTGCCATTTATGGCACCTTTAGGCTATGTTTTATTTATATTTCTATGCTCATTTTTATTCATTTATGTCTTTTTTTAGATAATAATGCTCGATTTGCGTGTTTTTGTGTTAGTTTAGAGAAATGCGTGCTTTTAATGGTTTTCTTATCATTTTTCGGCTATTTCTCTTGCATCTACGTTTCATTGTCTTGTTTTGTAGGTACGTCGAGTTCCCACGGATTTAATAATCAAGGAGGGAGATCAAGTGCATTCAAGGAAATTAACGGAGTCAAGTTAGGGAAGCCAAGCACGCAGGTCAAGTTAATCCAAGCAAGCTCCACAAACTCGAGTTCCGAGGTGGCGAGAGTCAAGGAAGCGAGTCCAAGCTCCTAGAAGCACAGTAGCACAGCCGCGGGCTATATGCATAGGAATTGAAAATAGCATCCACTACGATCGATATACACTTTTCGGAATTGAATTAGAGTTAGAAACAAAGGAAAACAAAGGCTTGCAAAATATCAAAAAGGACCTTTATGCATTGTTCCAGCCATATCTCAAGTTCTAAAGATCCGATTGAGGTGATTTAAGATGGGTTGGAAACTAGACTTGAAGAGCTTTCTAATGATAGGTTGCACGCCTTAATACAATTCCTATATTTGGTACTTACAGCCTTCTGAAGTTGGTCCTGCAAATCTGCAGCGGGCGCGGGGTCTGCTGGCCACGGGCGCAGGGCTGTTGCAACCTATTAGCAACCATTTTTGTCTAGGAACTTGGAGTGGGCAGGCCGCGGGCACCCACAAGACGCGGGCCTAGCCCCGCGGGCGTGGTTTTGGGGGTTTTCTCCTCCGCGGGCGCGACCGATTTCTCCGCGGACGCGGGTTTCTAGGTTATACTTGCGATTTCATTTATTTTCTCCTTTTGTATATATATTGTACGACCTTATTTATTCTTCATTAATGAAATAATTTAGCTTAGAGTAGTCTCTCTCTAGAATTAGATTAGATTAGGAGGTTCTCTCTCTAGGTTAGGAGTAGTTTTAGAGAGAGAAGGTGAAGGATTTCAATGGTGATTGATAGATTGAAGATTCAAGTGTGAAAATTGTGTTCAAGATCTCCTCTATTATCTATGAGCATTCTTATTTCTATCTCACCTTATTGCTTTATTTAATTTCATGTTTGTTTGGTTTAATTTTGATGTTTGATTCTTGATAGTGTAATTGTTCTTGATATATTATTGATTCTTGATTTCTTTAGTTGTTTGTTGATATATGATGATATTTTAATAGTTTTTGGCTAGGAATTGGGTGAAACTTGTATGATTTATTAATTGTGATTAATTTGGGAATTGTGTTGATTTATTGTTGAGATTAAAGTGATTAATGAAGGTTTGCATGTGTGTAATTCGATTAGGCCTTGAGAATTATGCTATATTGCATTGTAATTACTAATGACACGAACAATTGGTTTAGGAATTGCAATTATCGATTGGTTTTAATTGTGATTCTCTTAGTTTGTTATTCATAGTGAACCCTAGCTTAACAATTAGGAGATAGATCTTTGATTCCAATTGATTGCTCTTATCATTAGTCTTCACAACCTTTGATTGGCATGCTCTTCCTAAGTTGTTGCAATTGACATGATTACTTGTTGATCCTCGTTCCTAGTGTTTAATTTCCTTGGTTACTTGTTTCTTTAGTTATTAGAATTCTCTCTTACCTTCGTCTTCCACCTAGCTTAGGCGCATAATTGAAAATGCTTGAACATTACCGTTCCTTTGGGTTCGACCCTTGAGTTGCCTCTATACTTGTATTTAGGTTTGTTAAGTGTTTATAAATTTAGTTTGACCGAGGGAAGATTAGATAATGACCTAGTTTTTCCACTTGTCAAAATGGCGCCATTATCGGGGAACGGTGTCTATGTTTTAGTGTTTTTTATTGCTTGAGTCTAGGTCTTTGTGTATATTTTCGTTTTATTTGATTTTTGTTTGTTTTGTGAAAAAAATGGCATGTCTATCATTTTATCAATTTGACAATGAGCCTTTTTATGAATATTTCAATAGACTTGAGGTATTTTTGAACTATAATTGTAGTCTTTTGGAGGTTTGTGAGATTTGTTATTTTGTTTTGAATGTGCAAACTAGAAATGAAGTTGAATGCATGCATAATGGTGAATTTAAAGCATTGTCAATTGATGATGCTTTGGATTTTTATGTTTGGTTTGCTAGGGATGTTTATGATAGAGGTAATCATGATTCTAATATTGATGTGCAATGTCTTGATTCTTCAAATATTAGCATGAATTCCCATGATCTGTCACATGATTCCTTAAGTGAACCTAGAACACGTGATTTCAGCTCTATTTCCCCTTTTGTTCATGATGATGAAGTGCATGGTCAAGTTGATGCTAATGGTGTATTTCAATATTCTTCATTATTTACCATATTCTTATGATGTGCTTCATTCCCTTGATGATGAATCTCATGTGTTTGATTGTGCCCCCACTCCCCAATGTGATTTATATGCTCATGTCAATAATGTTGATTCTTTCAATATTTGTTTTAATTCTTCTTCTTCTCTTGTTGAGCCTCAACCTTCTACATATTTTGAATCTCTTGTTGATATATTTGAGTCTCAAATTAGGGTGCATTGAGCTTGATGATGAGCTAGGGCCTAGTAAAGAGATGATTCTTAATTCTATGAGAGGTCAATCAGAGATAATGAAAAAGAATGAGGAGCGTATTGAGGAGGAAAAGAAAAGAGGAGAAGAGTTAGAAAGCCAATTGTCATCCTTGATGCTTGTTTGTGAAAAATCCCAATTTGATAAGTGCGTTGAGGATGATGATGATGATTTGAGCAACCAAGAGAGTGTGAGGATCCCATTAGTGAGCATTTGAGTGATGGTGAAGGAGTTGAGAATAAAGAGAGTGTTGATTTTGAAAACCTCAACCCTATTTCCCATCTTGATGAGTCTCTTATGCATGATTGTGATTCTTCTATCCATGAGTATGTGGACCCGATTGAGGTTATGACCTGTTCTTTGAATGTCAAATGAAAACCCATAGCCTTTTTAGTGAGTTCATTAAGAATGCTTCATGGGAGAAATATGAGTTTGAAATGAATTTGCATCCATTCATGTATGGCTTTGAGACTTTAGGCTTTAAGGAAGTTAAGGGAGTTGTTGTTCATGATTGTAGTGAAGGGGATTATGTAGTTCTTCTTGGAAGTTGGATGTTTGAGAGAGATGATGATCATGAGTGTTCTTCTTTGAGGATTCTATGATTGATTTTCATGCTCTTATTGGTGATTTGAGGCATGGTGGTGAGAAAGAGTTCATTAGTGATGAGACCATAGCCCTTATTCCCTCCTCTCATGTCCTTTTTTCAAGGAGGTTTGACCATATCCCTTACACTCTTATATCCCTCCCTTTCTTTGTTAATGAGCCTATTGGGGACCCCTTTTTCTATGATGATTTTCAAACCCTCATTTTTCCTCTATTGAGGAAAAGGGTGATGTAGTCACCTAAAAATATTTTTAGGAGAGTTTGCCTTCTTCTTCTTCTTTTTCATTTTCTTATTTTGTTGAACTTCTTCCTTTTCTTGGCATCTCTCTCCTCATTTGCGTTCACTATCCTTGTTTCACGTACTCTTCCCGTCATTTGCCTACCTCTTATCATATGAAATGTGTAGTAGTGCATTTGACAAGTTCTTGCGTGCGTTGAATTATTATTTTCTAGAGCGGTCAAGGTTGGACCTTAAGCAAGCCTTTCTCGGGAAGTAACCCGTGTTTTATTGCATTCATTTTCTTTTCTGTTTAGAATAGATTTTCTCTCATGAAAATGTTTGTGTGCCTTTTGCTAGGTACATGACTTGATATACTTTGGTGCTTCGATTTTGATCAAGAATCAAGGAAGTTTGACTCTTATTTTTGCTGGCATATGGGAGGCAAGGTTCAATTCTTGAGGATATTAGTATTGAAAGGTTTAATTGGGTCATTTGTGGGTATTTATACCCACCTAATATCCGGTAATATCCTTCCTTTCTCTTTCTAGAGTGGATGATGACTTGTTGGACATATGTTGGTTTGGTTGGATCGATCTCCTTGTTTTCCCCTCCCATGGAATATTTGATTTATGTTTGAGCATGTTATCTCATTCAAGCTTGGGGGAGGGTATTACATTATATTTGGTGGGATTTTGATTCATATATGCTATGCACCTTTGTATATACATTTCCATGTTTCTTTATCTTGAAAAACTCCAAAAAGATTTTTGTTTCTATCAAGGCAAATTGCATTGTGTTTTGTTTTGTTCTTGCTTTGGACATAATACTTTTGGAATTGTATAATTGAATGCTTTTCTTCTTAAATGGTAACGGTGTGCACGGTTTGGGAGTACGCTTGGTTGATTATAGGATAAAGTATGCTAAGGTAGTAGGTTAGAACTAGTGGGACCATGAAACTGGATTCTGCTTGTTTGTGGCATGATGGTAGTTGCTTCCTATAGTCGAATTGACACCAATAGTTTGTTTTTTCTACATCCATGTGAGGTTCATTATTTTTCAAGTCTTCACCATATATTTGCATGAGTGGCATGGATCCTTGACTAATGCAGACCTAATCTAGAATCTTGACTCATAATTCTCAAATTCGAGACCGAGCCATCTAGGGAGGACAAAGGCATCTTTTCGGGGTGGTAA